AAAGAGAGAGAGATAGAGAGAAAGAGAGAGAGAAAGAGCGAAGATGGATGGTAAATAGGGGGAGAGGAGGGGAGGGGATGAAAAGTAGAAGAAGAAAAGCGTGTAACTAAATTATCAGAGGGAACGGATATTTCGAGAATCTTTCGTTTGCGCATTTTTGATATATCTGTGAACAGATGAAGAAAAAACAAAGATACTTATATTACATACATAAGGTGTAAGTGAACAAAAAAAAAAAATAGCATCTAATACGCTATTATTGATATAGGACACAAAGTAAAGTAAATATATATGAGACAAAAAAAAAGTATATATATACATAAATTGATATATTGACGCTATAAGGTTGCTGCTGGATGCGTTTTACGTTGAAGGAAGATGATGCAGTTTTCCGTTCAAACGTCGTCGAGGACGAAACAAAAGTTCACGGGGAGAATTAAGTTAGACAAAAGTAAGGATCTTAGAGTCGAAGACAAAGTAGCTCTTAGAATTTTTATCGAGGCAACATAAGGACGGACAGGCGTGACGCTAGTATACCACTTTCGAGGAATAAACCTATCCCATTTGTCCTCGTGGCCTGTACTTTACGTTTCGCTCGCATATCGATCCGTCTCGCTCGAGTTTCCCGCTTTTCTCGATCCATCTTGCGCGTCCATCTTCTTCTTCCCGATTTCTTTGCGAATCCGAGTGGAAAAATGTAACGCGGCCCGGCTAAGATGGATCGAAGGGGTGGAAAGTCTTGCGGAAGATCTCGCGATAAAGAAATCCTCGATAGGATCACGGAGAATGGGGAGGGAGGAGGGAGAAAGAGAGGAAAACGCGTGGAAAGTTTGCGAGCGGGACGCGGCTGGCCACGAGGCAGCGAACCACTCGGCTGCAATTGCAAACAAAAAATTTTTAACATTCGTTCTAGTTCAAGAATACAGGATCTGAAATGTATTACGTGCACGCGCCGAATCTTTCCTTTATTTTCGCCTTAGCTTCGAGATGTAATGTCTTATTATAATAATGATCGACCCGACATACGCGCCACACGTATACACGAGAAGGAGAAGATAGAAAAAAAAAAAAAAAGAAAAAAGAAAAAAAAAAGAAACATTCAAAAAGAATCCAAGCAGGCCGTAAAGAGTAAAACGATAACGAAGCGTAGTAATCCCTGTATCCGCGATTTACGACTAGTTTACAGGATGTAACACGTAACTGCGTTTAACGAAAGGACGTTACGACAGCGGAAGGAACGCGGTCGAAGGACAACGTGGAACGGCACGCGTTATTCTGCTGCAGTAACGGCTAAATATTCGAGACTAAACTATAGGTGGCATCCTAATTTACAGAAATTATTAGTCGAACAATAGAACCGCACATTTTTCAGAATCCGATTATTTAATCGTATACACCCAGTCGTGGGGCAATATCCAACGTATGCGTCCACAAACACACACACACACACACACACACACACACACACACACACCCGACCACTTTACCTACACATTTTGAGTGATGTCATACACATACATACATATACAAATTACACGACACGTAACATACTCAAGAAAATGTGAAACAAGAGGAAGTTTGAAAGAATTGAAAGGATAAGCGAATAAAGAATGCAAAGAAAAGATAAAGGGAAGAAATATATAAGAGAGATAAAATAAGTACTAGAAAAGGTAAGAGATCCGAGTGAAAAGTGTATGAAAAGAATGTAAACGAGCGAACGAAAAGAGAAATAAGGAGAGATAAAGCGATGTCGAAAGCAGAGAAACACATTCTTGGAACAAATACACTAAGGAAGAAACACACAATATGCTACGCGACAAACAAGCACAATCGCGCGTTCACTGTAAATAGAAGGATGCAACATTATTATACGACAAAGTTCATCTTTATTAACGTAACCTGTAATATATTTATTTGTCCGGTCGTAAAGGTATTTTATGTAATTTAAGATCCGAGCCTCTGTTTCATTTGAATTTGCCGCCATAGTGCGCTAACGAGGCATTGGTCGATGTAGTAAGAGGTAGAAAGGCGTTCTGAAAGGTACGGATAAATATTTTTAAAGGCGCTTGCAAATAATGTTGAGGAGCGCAGATGGCCTCCGACCAGTGCCTCGCGAATAATTAGGAGCGAAATCGAAAAGGACCACGTAATGCGCTCTCGCGATCGAAGTTGATCGTAGCAATTTCCGACCAGTTCTTATCTCGAAATTTTAGAGAATGTCTCCGAATCGTTATTGCGGTTGTTATATACATGTTTCTATCACTTTTCAACCTCGATCGCGTGAACCTGCGAATTGTGTCTAATTGTCTTCGTTTCAGTTTCTAATCTCGATCGATTCATTCAAAATTGTCGCAGCTTACAATAGAAGACGCTCGCTGTCCAAAAAATGACGATAAACGCAAGTTTCTTTGCAGATGGCGATAGTTTATAGTTACTATTGTTTCTATTTACATTAAAAACAAAGTATTTCTTTTGAGTAGATAGTCGAATTGATTAAAACCGACACACTATACGAATAGTTGCGCGCGTGACTTTAAGAAAACGCTCGAAACGTGTGTGTACCCGTGACGAATCGCGAAGCGACGTTTGTTTCCGTTTCCTTCCGAACACCTCAAATGAGGCTTTGGAAATAGTTTACGTTAGTCACGGATGCAAGCAAAACCTGTCACCCATTACGAATTCCTCTTTTATTTATTACCGATTAGCATGTAAGATGACGTTCTACCAACATATGCTATAATTATAAATACACCTTATATATAGTAGAGTAAGCGTTACATTACCTACCTACCTACCTACCTACCTACCTACCTACCTACCTACCTACCTACCTACCTATCTACCTACCTACCTACCTACCTACCCACCTACCTACCTATCCGTGCTTGACGGGTGAAACAAACAGATGAATCACGCAATCATATATTTAAGTTGCTATTTGGCACGTATACCTAAGTAATATACTAACATAAACAGTATGCAATAATAAATATGAGAAATTAAATACGATTTTTTTTTTCACTGAATCGCACATCATACCCATCTCCTAAATTTTTATCATTCCATGCACGCGATGATTTTAAATGTTATTCTTCATAGAAACGTAGTAGCTTCTAATACTACAGAATAAACGAATTACTACTTCATAAGGATCTAAGGTAGCAAAATAACAATGTTTTTTTCAACGATTGCGTTTCTTTGAAATACTTTTATTTATATTTTAAATGATAAATGCGAAAAATTAATTATTCAATCTTTCATGAAACGTTAGCGTTCTGTATACATACAGATGCTAGAGAATTAATGAGAAAACGAAAACGAAGAACGAAGATATGAAAAATATTATAAAATGATAAAAATTTGAACTTTTTTTTTTTAAATGCTTCGTTTTTCTTGTCATATCTTGATTAATTTTTTGTCATATTATGTTTAAAAATATTACCTGTTATTAGAGATAAAATTATACTTTCTGATCAGTTGGTACTTTATTAATTTCTTGCTGTGTAGGAATCTGTGTAGATTGCAAGTTCGGCTGATTTTGATTATTTTGCTGTGGCACGTTAATATTTTGTGGTATTTGATTTATTTGCTGTTGTTGCAAATTTGAAACTGGATGTTCATTCTGTTGAACTGGAATTTGTTGACCTAAAGACTGGTGAGGTTGAACCAAATGAGGTTGCCCTTGATTTGCTATAGGTGCAGAGTGTAACTGTTGAACAGGATTTTGTTCTTGAGGTACTTGCACATATTGATATTGCTGATTCGGTATTTGTCTTTGGAATTGTTGTTGTTGTTGAATTTGCTGAGGATTTACAATTTGTGGCTGTTGCTGATATTGTGGATTTTGAAATTGTTGCTGATGTATAACATTTTGATTTGAATCTACTTGAGGTGGAATTAATCCAGGTGCAACTGGTGCATGTCCATATTGTGATGGAAACTGAAAAATACGAACAAAATTATTATCACAATCTATTCATATTTAATTTCGATTTTTACTATTTATATGTTAAATATAGAATGTAAATTTTGGTTTCTTTTTATTATGTTACTATTATTAATTATTAAAAAAATTTTTTAATTATATTTTATATTCGCTTTAGATAAAAATATTTTGAAAAGCTAGGATTACTTACCGGCTCGGATTGTGCCGGTATACTACCTGGGTGTGGTGGTAGCTAATAACAGCAACAAAAAGTGCACAAGCTAATTATTATCGATTACACTAAAAACACTATAAACAATGCTTCTTAAAAAAAAAAAAGATTAATGTGGATAAAAAATAATCACTAATAACACAATGCATTATTGTACCCTTTGCTATTTGTAAATTTTAAATAATGAAATAAAATACTATAATACTATTGAATAATAAAATATTACATAAATATTTTTCTAGCAATACTTTAAAGCAGTTGATACAATTCATTAATTAATTTTTTGCACAATTATTTTCTTACAAACTATATATTAGATGGATTTAAAAACTGTTATAGCTTTTAAATCAATCACTTTAAACGAACACAAATGTTTCGTAAATATCATTCACAAATTATATAAAATTTAGAAGCATTAAAATTATGCATTTTTAAGATTTTAAAGAAATTTTTCAAAAAAACTTAAAAATTAATAAAAATATGTAATAATTATTTTTAAATAAAAATAAAATGTTCGTTTAAAACATCGGGTTCAAAACGATAAGATTTTCAATAAAACGTACAATTAATTTTTTCTAGATTTATTAGTTCATTCATTTTCATTTCACAAACTAAAGGTGTACATTTAAGCACAAAAAAAAATCCTAATAAAAATAAGCATGCAAAAGTATGCACAACATAATATGCATACTTTTAAAAAATATAACAAATAATCACAATAATTTTTACTACATTAATATACTCACCATTCCTTTAGCAATCATTTTTTGCATCTCTTCTTGTTTGTGTCTTTCAAAAGCTTCAAATTCTTCCTGAGTATAAATTTGTTGTTCATCCAATCCTAGCCATCCTTCATCTTGTTGAAAATCTGGTTTTTTTGTTTGTTCCAAAAATTCTTCATAACTGAAATAATGATATAAAATAATGAACATAAAATTGATGAACTTCACTAAAATATATAAAATACCTAATAAGACCATCTTTATTGAGATCAGCTTCATTGAATACATGTTCTCTCATTCTTTCCATTTCTTCGGCTCGTTTTAAAAAATCATCTTGTGGTGCTCCTTGAGCATAAAGTTTATCCAATTCTTTCAAAAATAAAGCTTTAACTTCATTTTGATCCCATACTCCATTACCATCAACATCTTGAATATTAATTATTTATAAATTATTAGATTAAATTATTAAAGATTTAAAATATCACAAAAAAAAATAACATTATAAAAATATAATATATGATACCATGAAAGAAAAAAAATGTTCTAGGATTAAATTCTTCATTTTCCATATGATCTTGTTTTTCCCATACTTCCTCTAATTGTTGTTTACTTCCTGGATGGTGTATCTAAAATAAAAATAAGAAAAAGTAAGACTATTGAATAAAGAAAAAATATTGAATATATTTATAATTTACAGGTTCATGTTTTTTTTGCTTTTCTTTCATTGTTTGCAATTCTTCTTCATATTTCTTTTTCTCTGCATCATTCATTTCTATAATAAAATAAAATATATGAAAAATCAATATTATCATAATTAAATTATTAATTCATTTTGTAATATTACGTTTTAATTTTTCTCTTTCTTTATATTGTTTCTCCATTTCATGCCGTTTAAATTCCTCTCGTCTCTTTCTATCAGCTTTTGCTAAATCTTTAGTAGTCTGTATAAAAGAACAATTTATTTATAGATATTTAATTAATAATAAGCTTGATTTAATTACTAACAGTATATTACCTTAGCAATTAATTTCTTTAGATCTTGAATTTCAAATGTACGTGTATTAGTATGATCTAAATGTTCAGGTATTTTTAAATGGTCAACATCTAAACCATTCTTCAATTCATTTTCTTTGGTTGCAAGATGTCTTAATCTTTCTAATTCTTCTCTTTTTATCTCATCTAATCTTGTTCTAACATTACGATTTACAAACTGTAGTTCTTCAGCTATTTTCCCTGTCTAAAAAGGAATTTATAAATATATATTGTATTAAATCTATTTTTTATATATAATGCATGTAATGTCATTTTTTATTTTTAAATTACACGTATATCTGAATCCAATGCATTTTCCAATTTTGCTTGAAATTCAGGATCACTTTCTAATGCTTGAACAACTTCCATTAGGTACCTACGGTACTCCATATCTACCTATGTAAAAAAAACTTTTATTATAACTATTAATAAAATTAAATATTAGTATTATTGCAAATAATAATATACCACTTCTTCCACATCTTCAACTTCATCATTTTTATCATGATCCTTATCTTTTTTTTGATTAACAGGTGGTGCAATTGACCAATGGATTGTCACACTTATTAGAAGAAATAATAAGAAATATTGCATGTTTCTATAACAAAATATTATATATTACATATATGAAAATAATTAATAATAAAAAAAATTATTAAATTGCTAGATTGTATCTTTCGATTTATCGCGTTTGTTAAAAAAAAAAAAGACGAATTAACATACGTAAAACACTATAACGCACAACAGCTGTTGCTTAAAAGAGAAAGTTCTGCTAATGGAGTATTTACCCGGAAAATGTACTAATTTGATTACATGTTGCAATCATGTTGCATCAAATGGAAATTAAATAATATAACAACTGACTAGACAAATTAAGTATTAAAATTATTTTAAAATACACTGTATTTACTTTATTTACACTTTTCGTAAAAAAAGAAATAATCTTCAATAAAAAAACTCAAATATAATAATAATAATAATAATTTAAAAAAAAAATGAAGTTACTAATTTGTATTTAAAGTCAAACTAATTAAATGAAATCATATGTAAAAAAATATATTTAAGAAGAATTCTTTTCAATATCTTGTTTACCGTTATTTTTTCTTTTTCTTTTTATCTTTTTTTTTTAATAAAAGTACAAATATACTTATAAATTTTCACTGATCAAATATTTTTATTCTGACTTAAAAACTAATCAATGAATAATCTTTGGATTTTCTCGTACAAATAATCATAATAATATAATTATATGTGATAATATCAATTGCGAGATAAAAAAGAGAACGCGTTTTATATCATATATTTAACGTATGATATATAAAATAGAAATACCAACTATTAGAAAATCTAATGGATATAAACCAGTAAATAAGGAAAATACAGTGATATGTGGTAATAACGTTTGTTTCTAAAATAGATAATGACGTGATTTTAGTTATAAAATTGTTACTGATGCTGGAAGGATAACACACAATTTTTTCACTTGATTTAATACTATATGAACTGATTTTCGTAATGTAATCAAATGATATTAATCACAATGAAAAGTTTAAAAATACAAACAATTGGCATATGAATGAAAAATACATAAATATTAATCAATACCGGTGAGTGAATAACATTGATAATTTCACGATATTTCTTTAACTATCTGAAGACATCTGATATGTAGTATTCATATATATATAAAATAATATTACCATAGACAAAATATACAATAGACTTACCATCTAATGTATTTTGATTCCCAGTCTTAACAAATTCTTGCTTCTTTATCATTTTAGATAATGTTTCCAACATTATCGACTTTAAATAAAATACCAACCGACCAAAAAGTAACAATTTTATCTTTAATAGGTAATATTTTTAAAGGTAATATTACAAAAAATTAAATAAGATATAATAAGAAAGATGAAGAAATATATAATAAAACTACAATGTTAATACTAATTAAAAAATAAAAAAAAATATTTATATAAATTCACAGATGATATACATGGAATAAAACACGAGTAGAATTTTTATTAACTGAAATTTTCTTCTATGGATAAAAAATATAAATTTTTTAATAACTATATCATGAACTAAGTCACAGATGAATCATAGAATAGATACGACACCCGATGTTAACGATTCAATAACAGAAAATGAAATAAAAAGCAACATCTTAGGGAATTTTGTATTTCACGTTCAGAAATACCAACCTTTTGAAGAAAAAAACTTTTGAAATGTTTCTTACGCCCTCTATAATTTACTACGACCATAGAACATACGAACACAGACAAGAAACGAAATAGAGATTTCGTACGATATTTTGAGGAGATATTTCAAAAAAGATCAGAATATTTCTTACGCCATCTAACATGTTATAATCTAACTACATATACAAAATTAAACCATTCAAAAAATATAGAGCAAAATATAGAAAATGCACTAGATTTCATTCAATCTTCTTTCGCGCCAAAATTTATTTTCATACAAAGTCTTCATTTATTGTTGCGAAAGAAGAATTACAAAATGATTGTGCAGAAAAACGGCACAGAAAACTAGATTTAAAAATAAAACCTAAATTAAAAGACTTTCTATCAATATTTTACATTTCCATTATTATGGAAATGAAAAATAATTGACAATTAAAAGCAAAAAAAAGAAAAAAAAAGAAAAAAAAAAGAAAAAGAAAAAGCAAGAGAAATAAGCTTCCCACAAAACCACACTATTTATTTACAATATATTATTTTATTATCTATTTAATTAATATCCTTAATTATGCATACACTTAAATCTAAATACGTTTTTATTTTAATGTTTTTTTATAGTGAAATTTTTTGTCCTTGTAAAAGATCCTAAAATAAAATTAAATGCAACATTAAAACTATTTAAACATCCTACCTATTTTACCTAGCTTTTTTTTTATTATTTCTACCTACATAAGAATTAAATTATTAAATTTCGTTTAAAAATCCTGCCTTTCGATTCTACGAAAAGATTGTTTTCATAATCCTTAACAATTTTTCAATTTTTAAGAATTTATGACGACATATATATGGCCAGGAAGAATGAACTTGCTATTGATTATTTATAGCAAAGGAGTTCGAAGAAGGCAAGAAATTCAGGATTTTTTCATTGAAAAATAGGAATATATTTCGAATCAGAGTAGGAAAGGCGAGGATTGTCATTTAGGAAGAAGAGAAGATTAAACACACCACATATAAATCCTATAAATATAATCCCACAGAAAATGTTTCTTTTATTTAAAAATTGGAAGATTTATCTAATAACGAAATATTGGACTGAGTTATTCCTTCCGTTTTATTCCGTTGAAAGATATCTGAAACAGATTATAAACAGAATTAGTAAAATATTAGATAATTAATTTCTAATAAATGAAGATCAAGCATTATTTTAACTGTACCTCTTTTCTTCTTTTTATTCTATTTTCTTCTATTTATTTCATTCAATTCATATCTGTAACAAACTCAATTATTGGATTAGTGATTAAAAAATAATTTATATCTAAGAAAAGAAAACATTAATTCCTAGAAAAAATCAAATTATCAAAATATTTAAAAAATTCATAATTTTAAACAAAATCATTGATAAGAAAGAAATCTATATATATTTTTTTAACAGTATTTTTAATAACAAATGCTCTTAACAAGGGGTGCTGAAAAAGAAAAAGGTAACCAGAAGGGTTACCAAAAAATTATCCACTCAATGTAAATCCGAACAAACCGTGAGTGGAATATTTTTTCTATTTCGCAACGCTAATATACTAAAGTTCATTGAAAGAAAAACGCGAAGAGTGCTTTGTTCTATTTGCAATGCAATTTTTAATAAAAAAAACAAAAACAAAAAAAAAGATAAAAGACTCGCGAAAGCTTATTTCTCATTAAGATATTTTAATTATTTACGAAACTCTAATAAACTAATTTATGCACTCATATTTTATTATACGCAACACTAATAGCGGAAAATTGCAGCCATATCAGAGACTGCCGTTGTACAATCACCTTTGTGCAACTTTTTTGCACTGGTGATCCATGATGAGCAGGAACATCTCCCACAATCCAAGTGGAAGAAACATGGGCAATTTTTAAACGAAACACTACTGTAAAAAACGCGATTATTGATCAACGCAACACTATTTTAAACAACGCGATCATTTATCAACGCAACACTAATACTTAAAACGAATTTAATACAAAATTTATTATTCTACGAATAAAAAAAATCCCGATATCATAAATCGCAACACTAGAAGATAAATTGATTAAAGTTTAAATAAAAAATAAAAAAAATAGGCTAATTCATAAGCAAAGTAATTGAAAAACAATCGCGATATCTTTTAGAACGTAACACTTGAGCAAACGCGAATATCATTTTATCGAAACACTAATTCAAAACGCGAGATTTGTAAACGCAACTCTAATTCAAACCGTAATTTATTTATCGCGACACTAATGCAAAATCGCGATATGCCCATGATGACTGGATGAACGATGGGCCAGCATGCAAATTGGCCAGACGATACAAGGTAACATATACTACATATTACTAAAACGAGCACAGTGACATAGTAATAATAATGACTTCCCATGCTTTGGATTCAAACGAGATCCAAAAGATGAGAAATCATTCGTTGCAGCCCTCTTCGTGACAGTTTGTCGGGCCTCTTCGGTCTTCCTCCTTCGGGCGCGATGCCCGCTGAAACTTAAATCTAGACTCGAGATTCACTAATCGTAAATGAGAAAAAAAAAAGAAGAAAAAAAAAAGACTAAATCGCGGAATCTAAATGCACATGGACGACCAATGATCTATAATGATCATTGTCCGTACATGCGCAGAATCTCGAGTGCAACGTTCGTTTCGAAACTTAATTCGCGACCGCGATCGCGAATTCGAAAAATCGATGATCGAAGCCAGAAACAAATGGTCATAGATGACCACTCGTCTCAGCTTCATTCTCGATTCTTCAAATTTTATTTCCTGAAACAGATTGCCACGAACGAAAACGCGCCTACCCGATCGGAGACTGTGACAATCTGCCCGGCCCTACCTACTTACAATTAACAGGCACACCAGAAGTATACTACCTATCCTACCTAGCCCTATATTTAAAAAATGGCAAAGCAGGCACACCAACACATTCATTCAACGATTCTCACACATAATACTCGGGCGCAAAAGCCTACACTAGGGAAAACGTCCCGGGACGCCTCCGACACCCGAGCTTGGCACGCTACTTTCACACTCTAAGTTTACGTACCATTTTCCTGAAATCGACTGACGATGGCTAGCGACCATTGCGAGTTGAAACGTGATGAAAATACGTATATATTTTAATTACAAAATATATTATATATATTTTGGAAAGATATGTCTTTTAAAAGAATTAAATTATTTATAAAATGTCGCGAAATTTGATACCAATCGTAATTTGAAAATATAATTTCACATGATATAAATTATTATAGGAATTGTGATGAAATTATTCTTGAATATTTCAAATATTTGAAGTTAGATTGAAATGATAAACGACGCAATTCCACAGCCTAACCACACACACACAATGTGGAAATTACGTCGTGCACGATACGCTAACGCATCATCAGTCGCTAAAAAGTTATTAGAAACTTATGAACTATGATCATCATGCCCATTGCCTTTCTCTCACTCAAATAGCACTTGGGCACGTGAGTGAGATCCTGGCAATGGACATGGAAAGGGTTAAACCTGAAAATCCTAAGCTAAAAAGATAGATTAATATAAATATTTTGTATCTAACGGGCTAATGAACTTTGATTTTGTATAATCTTATTATATTTCAAATTTTAATGAACT